CTCATTGGTCGAACTGCTAATTGCCTTTCTGTCATTAGTTGAAAGAACTGTTACTTGTGATGGTACGTTAAATACCTTACATTTTCAAAAGCCTTGAACCGTTTTCTTGCAGTTTTTGTTGTCACTTCTTCGTCGCGAATCTATCATTACCACAAACTAATAATATGCAGACTTTCTTCATCTTCTGCATCTACCGCCACCGTGAACATATAGTTCCGCAAACATGTCTATTTTCTCAGCAAAATTTTCCTACTGCTAATATAAAGTGACTTACAGTATTACCTTTTTGCTGAAATACCATCCTGGCCAGAAATACACTGTAGGTTAACTATTTAGTTGCAGTGCAGTTTCATGGTGGGAAAATGTACATGTGAGTCCACCGACTGCTGGAAACCATTAGTGTCCCATAACCGCCTGGCATGTTCTAAGTGATGTTTTCAAGGTCAAGGGGTCATTGCTTCTCCCAGGGGTCAAGTTTTCACCCCAAACAAGATGTTTCATTAAACCAACCTGAACAGAAAAGCAATCAGGGGTCCCCACAATGGGAGAGGGGAGAAGTCCAAAAATAACAACAAACTTGAGATGAGGGAGGGGGGCACGTACATGTATGTACCAGGGAGGGTAATACAGGTACTAATTCACTTAATGTTCACGGGTGCAAAATTTTACAGTCTGAGAAAATTAGACATGTTCACAGAACTATATGTCCACGGTGGCGACAGGTGCAGGAAAAAGAAAGTCCAGGAATTATTTCTTAACTGTAATGATAAGGTCACACTCAGTACAGAAGTGACAGTGAAAATGGTGAACATAAAAGTACAGTGAAAAAATCAGGAATTACAGTATAGAATAGCATTTACACATGTTAGCCTCCCCGTGCTGGGTTAGAGAGCTCCATGCCAATTTAACGTAATCATTTGAATCATAAAACTTCAATCATAAAACTCATGGTGTTTTCAAGTTTCTGTACAACAGTAGTGGTAAAAGAAAGTCAAACTGTTAAGAAACATTGCTGTTATTTCTTTCATATTTCAATAACAGTTAATAACAATTTCTTTCATAACAGTCAATGAAGCAGATAATAATCCACGTAAACCTACATGTATAATTTAAACCCGATACATGGACCACTGTTGGTAGAAATCAGAAATACATTTTGTACCTGCAAAGCTCCAATTTTAGCAGAACTATCCTAGTCCTACATATATATGTGTTATTTCATGCCCTGGTTTTAGATTATATTGGAATTATATACTGATCTTTTTGCTGTATCAGTTTATAGGCAAGTTTATAGACTTTATATGCCACAGGCTTGTTAAGTTCATTTGACTTGACATTAGGTAACGCAAATGCCCTTTGTTAAGACAAGGTCAGTGCTGTCACACCATCCCCTCACCTGCGCTCTTAAGAACTCCTCTACAACGTCTACCTGTGTTCACAGGTAATCTTAGAAATGTCCAATTCTCCAACTACTTGAACATTTATAAATGACTCCCCATTTTCAGTTTGGTACGGTCCGACTCGTGCTTGATGTGCATGCTGGTGTGGACCACACCATGTTGTTATAGGGGTAGACAGGTTGTTCTTTAGGGTGTCGGAAGTGGAGTGTACTTGTAAGCATTGTGTTCCCAAGCTGTATTGATTGGGGATGTTTCCCATGGTTTGACCAGACTGTGCACAAAAGACTCCGCATGCCTGCCCGCACTAGTGCCATACACACTCGGGGATTCTCCGGTACAAGCTCGCAATACCCATTCTCTCGAGTGCCAGCAAGTCCGGTCAAACTTTCCGTGGACGACACTCGAAGTCCAAAGGACCTACGTAAATTGTGGGAGTCCCACGGGTATCGGGTGGGCGCGCCGTGTTCGCACGTGACGCTCTTCACGCTAACCAAGCCTCGTTGAAACTCTCCGAATGTTTTACGAGAATCTATAAGAGTTGACTTCTAAGTTTCTTTTCTTGAAGTACTGAGAATATATTTCTTTGACTACGTGGACACATGTCAACCAATTTGTATACCTAACAACATTATAGATTTTTTTTTACTTGTATTGAATGTTTTACAAGAATCTACAAGAGTTGACTTCGATTCTAAGTTTTTCTTGAAGTATTGAAAATATTTTCTTTAACTATGTGGACACTTGTAAACCAATTTGTATAACCTAGTTTTTATTTGTATCTGCATTGATGAAAATAGTTACATCATATTTAGAAGTAGATTTAACAATTTATTTCAAAAACAGGCTATTATAGTCTTTATAGATGAAATTGAAGATAAGAATAATCTGAAGTACTGTATCATCATATTGGAGTCGCTGAGAATAATCCATTTTGTTATGATATCACATTTTGTATGATCACTGAATTCTACATATTGTCTGTTTTCAAACAATTTAATGTATTGTTAGAGTGCATCTGCCAAATTAGCGCAAACACAAATTTGTAATTAAAATATTATGGCAAACACCTGGGTACAAAATAATTCCTCTGACATTATTTGATTAACATTTATAATCGTTTCCATGACACACTTTTGGAAGAATTTCAAATTAGCAATAACATTCTTTTTTCCAGATGTTACTTCCTTGCTTTCCTTAATTACAATGTATATTTCACTCCATACCACAGTATGGATGAAATATATTGTTCCATGTTTTTTTTAGACAGTGCAGAATGTGACATCCTGCCCTCCCCCGCCCCTAATCCATCATGGTCTGACCCTAAGTGTTTTCAGTCCCCCACTATGTTGTCCCCTTTGTTGAGGTCGGATCTCGGTAATTATTTTAAACAATGGCTTTGACGTCGCCTATTGTGTTGGCCTGGCTGTAAGTGGTGACGGTTAGGTGTACGTATACCCCTGTCTGGCCAAGTCAATTCTTTAAGACATGGTATTATGGCTAAGTTTGTAACTGAATTAGAATGTAAAGATTCTCATTTTGAACCTTTATAAGGCCCCAGTGTTGTGCCCTATTTCTTCACTCTATTCTGATGAAAATAAGTACGTTGTACCTATATCTTTAGATTTTAAATGAACACAATTCAAGAGTACTATATTGTACTATGTACAAGTTAAAATTGATGTTAAATCTAGTTACCCTGAAAGTAGTATTACCATAGCTAGGAACACTTTTTCTTTCTTATAGAATTGGTATTCAACAAAGTAGGAAAGAAAAGATTTGATTTGAGGATATATATTTTATATAAATCATACATATTGGATCAGGAGCACTAGAGTTTTTAAAGAAGTTGGCACAAGCGTGTGTTTTATCTCATTGTCAGACATTACAGTTCTGGTCGGACCAGTTTTTGTTGACTCAATAGTTAAGACATGTCTAGACGTCTGGTCATGTCCGAACATGGCCTGTGCTGTGTGCATGTTTGTACCTGTAGCAGTGGAGCTTCAAAACAGCTCCTCCTAGCACCCCATATGTGTACTGCAGATGGGGATTGTTGGTGAAGTCGTATGCGGTGCCAATATCTTGCACTGTAGCTGCATTATCAATAGTCAATACAATGTATTTCTGTATACAAAAATGCTAAAAGATGTTGAATACATACACAAATATTTGATCACCTTTTTCAACATTATTAATACAATGGGGTTATGAATTTTATTATCTTCTTTTTAGCTTACAAAGCAAGGATACATTTTGTCCACTTTATTTGACAGGATTTACAAGTTTCGTACCTACCAATTTTTTTCTTTCTCTTCATTCAAAAAATCATTGACAAGCTATTTAGGTGAAATTTTGTATGACACAATTATGTTGACTAGAACTGTAAATTAAGATATTTTTGCGGGAACAAATAATTTTGCAGTAGAAATAAAAGGAACTTTCTGCAGTTCTCAGTTAAAACACTGTTCTGCAGTTACTGTGAAAATGCATTTTCTGATACTGCGGCAAAAATTTGAAAAAGGGAAAATGAAACCACAGCGAGAGTTGCAAGACTCACAGTTCCCAAACTAGAGGTCAGGTGTCAAGTTGGCAAGACTAAGGGTCATGTAAATATCTAAACCTGGTATTTGAGTGGGGAAAATGTGCTGACCAGATGTCTTTCGGAACTTCTTCCATAGTGCTGCATACCTAAACCCACATTTAGGTTCAGGTCCGGATTCAAGTCCAGAGGTTTAGGTTCAGTTCCGGACTTGTAAGTCCAGACCTAAACCCATGGCATATACAAAATTGCATGTTGACAACCTTGCAATGTTGTCTGGGTATAACTTGGCCACATAACATGGAGGCCGGCACTTGACGATGCCCTATGGCAATGTTTTCTTCATTTTGCAGCAAAGATTTTGCAATCTACGGAAGGTTTTAGGTGGTTTGGAAAGAAAAGGGGTATGTGAAATGGTCTTTCATGGAAATAAGTCCGGACTCGGTTCTTGACTTTTAGGTTTTTTTGGACTTGAACCTAAACAAGTCCGGATCCAAGTCCAGTGAACCGGTACACAGCCCTATTTGGAACTTCTTCCATCCTCGATTTTTCAACTCTGTGGACGTTTTCCACCCTCCCTGGCTGAGTACAAATAAAACAAGAGCTTAAGGCGAGTTTTACAGTCTACCCTTGCACTGGTAAACGATGTCGGCCCCAGTTGCAGCCCACATTACAATAATATAAGTCTCTCTGGTCACTTCAGTGTATTGAAGAAGACCAGAGTGACTGGTTAAATGCACTAAGCTAGGACAATTTCACAAAAGTTTTAGCTATAATTATAATATAAACTTACAGTAAGGCCACACTGACTTCATTTTAATTTTTATGGATGACATCCCCGGAAGACCCCAAAACTATTGCGAGCGGGCGAATGAAAAAAAAATGTCACAGGAATACAAAGCTGTTCTTGTAAATTTGTGGTAGTACATGCGCACGGATGTCATCCATAGAATTAAATCAGTGTGGCCTAACTACCAACACAGATGAACTTTTGCGATAATTTTCCTACATTGCGTACCATTATCTCAGCATCTTATTGACCAATTTTCCTTTCCTCCACACAGATATGACTACAACACACTCCTGCACAATTCTACGTTCTGTCTCGTGCCACGCGGGCGTCGGCTCGGGTCTTTCCGCTTCCTGGAAGCGCTGCAGGCAGCGTGCATTCCCGTTATCGAGGCAAACGGATGGGAGCTCCCGTTTTCGGAGGTGATTGAGTGGGACCGAGCCACTATTACGGCTGACGAAAGGCTGCTATTTCAAGTAAGTTCCTGTCTTTTGTTGTACCGCTATTCACTTGATGTTTGCAGAAGCAGAAGTTCATATAACTGAGGAAAATTGAGGTACTAGTATACGTTCATGGTGGCAGCAGGTGCAGAAAAAAAGAAAGTGTATCTGTCTACTTTATTCCCAGTATAACCGCCCTTCGGTGTAACACCAGCTTTGAAGACACGCGGCGTGGTAGCAGCTGGCTACATTACACCGATCGACTAAACATTGTTTAAACTTTCAAAGCTATCTAATGATAATGTCCCTATTTTACTTGGTGACAGCGAGTTACACTCTGCGATAATTCTAGGAAATCGGCAGTACAGTCACTGCAAAAACCGTGAACATAAAAGTACAGTAACTGCAATAAAACTAGGAATTACACTGCATGTATTTGCAGGATCTTTCTAGTTCTAGTATGAATTTGTGTTGTTTGAAAGCAACCTTTGATCCACTGCTCATAGATTCATGAGAGCCATCTGCATAGCATGACTTCACAAACGCAGTGAATTGCTTATTCCTTGACAAAGACCAAGAGTTGTACAGTCAAAATCCAATGTCTTGTGTTGGAAATTACAGTTCAAATTGTTTCATAATCTGTGTTTTTTGTTCTGTTGCAGCTTCCTTCTATTCTGCGAGCGATCCCGCCTGAAAAAATCCTGGCCCTGAGGCAGCAGACACAGTTCCTCTGGGAAACTTATTTTTCCTCAGTGGAAAGAATAGTTCTTACTACATTAGAGGTAAGTCTTTGTTTGTTTGTGTCCCTGTCAGGGATCCTGCCAGCACCTGTTCTTCCATCAATTGCAGGAACTTTGCAGCATGTGACGGAAAGATTTTAAGACCAATCTGTCAACCTTGAGTCTTGGCGGGCATGATTGGCAAATATCTTGAGAAGAAATATATAAACATCCAATACCCATGACCACTCTCAACGGAACCCCATGATTTGCCTCTCAAAATGTGGGAAATTGCAATTTTAGCGGCTTGAAAACCCCAAGTTTTCCCCAGACCCCCCCCCAGGTACAATCATAAACCTGGGCTGATGGAAAAAAATTTCAAGCTGGCTAGAGCCCTGTTTCCTGGTACAATGAATTTGCTTCTCTGTCACGACCAATGGAAAAGTAGCACTTAAATAATATAATGTGTCTTCTGTTTCTTTCCTAAGACTTGATGAATATTAACCCTATTTTCTCTCTGTTGTTCCAGATACTTAGAGATAGAATAATGTCCCACCAATCACGAAGTGCCTTTGTCTGGAACCGGCCGCCAGGCGCGCTCGCTGTGCTTCCAGAATATTCCGAGAACTTGGCGGACTTTCCCTTCTTCCGTTCGCCGCTGGGTCTGTCGCCGCCGCGGGGGTTCACGGCCGTCATCCTGGCCACGTCACCCGTTATCTCCCAGTCAGCGCCCATTTATAAATTAATCAAGGCCGTGGCCATGTCTAAACATGCTGCTCAGGTTAGTACATGTTCTGTATGTGTATAGCCTTTCGGCGTAACACACCAGCTTCGCAGTTGCACACACACACACACATACGTGTACGCAGTTTTCTCACGTTAGGTTTTGTTTAATAAGACATAACGGCCTACAATTCTGTCCTGTTTAATGTGAATGAAGCTAAAGATTCTGTCAAATTTAGTAGTATTACGGCTTCTATTGTTTTTGCGAAAGTTCAGATGAACATATCTCAATTTGTAAAATTGTTCAAGTACAGGTACATGTTGCTTACAAGTGTGCGTACACAGTTTTTGCAGGTTAGGTTTTTTGCCGGTGTGTTTGGTTTGGTTTAATTTATTTGTATTTTGTCACCAATAGAAATCCAACTAAATCAAACACACAGTAAACTTAGCACGTGAAAACGGTGTACACACGCAAGCTTACAAAAACTGTGAACATACGCAAGGTTAGGAAAAGTGTGAACGTCACACTTTTCTTGCTCTTAAGTCAGTCTGCTTTGATTTACATGTATGTCAAAAATTTACAAGCACATTACAAGCAGGCCGATTTAGATGCAGGAAAAAGTTGACATATGTTCCTATACTTGGATGTGTACGCATTTTACACACAAAGGCAATGAAGGTTCTTAGCATACCTCAAAGCAGAGATTTTGATATCTATTTCTTTATCCGAATTGTAAGATATTTGATGGAAAGGCAGTTACATGTATATTGACTTCCTTTCTTCTTGTTTGTTCTAGATTGTAGTTCTATGGAATAGTGACAAGCCTTTGCCTGCAAAAAATAGATGGCCCCCGACGGGGATTCCCATCATGGTAGTGAAGGGGCAGAGCAAGGTGAGCGGAAAGGTATTGACCCATTTTGCTCTGCGGCTGATTCAGCCCATTTCTCCTGCTTAGCATCTAGCACCTGTAGCTTAGCATCTAACATTGGTAGCCTAGCATCTAACACTTGTAGATAGCATCTAGCACCAGTAGCCTATAGCATCTAACACCGGTAGCCTAGTAATAGTAGCATCTAGCACCGGTAGTCTAGCATCTAACACCTGTAGTCTAGCATCTAACACAGTAGCCTATAGCATCTAACATCAGTAGCCTAGCATCTAACACATGTAGCCTAGCATCTAACATCGGTAGCCTACCATCGAACACTGGTAGCATAGCATCTAGCACCAGTAGCTTGGATCAGTGATCTAGCCTGTTGAGATTTGTTTCTAACCTTTTTTTTTATCATATAAGGGTCTTAGATGTTTCGTTTTCTTTGTTTCTTGCAGCAAATGAGCAGCCGTTTCTTTCCTTATGACATCATCCAGACAGATGCCGTGTTAAGCCTGGATGAGGACACCATTCTCAACACAGACGAGGTGGGGAAATTACATCTAGCTTCAGTGCACAGTGCAAGCAAAACTAATATGCAACAGATCATTCAAGGACCGCTAGTGTATTGTAGGGCACTAGGAATTCAACGAGAAACAGTTTACACACTGTTTTGTTTGAATAAGACATTATGGCCTACAATTCTGTCCTGTTTTATTATGGTTTCTATTGTTTTTGTGGAAGTTCAGAAGAATATATGTCAATTTGTTCAAGTACAGGTACAGGTCCAGCCCTGTTGGGGGGCCCGCATGCCCTTTTCCGTAGATTTTATGTAGAACATAGACGGACGCTCTAATTCAATTCTCCCTTTTTATTCTACCTAATGCTTTGTAGCTACCCGGAATTTATTGTAAAACATAATGGGGAGGCTTCTTGATGTCAGCGTAATACGTAGCTGGCTCTCAAAACTTTAGCGTAGAGCGTTGTTGGAAACCCCCCATGCAGGCCCTCCTGTAGCTAAACCCCTGGACCTGTACCTGATGTTACGTTACTGAGATGACGGTGTGTGTTTGTCCCGTAGGTTGATTTTGCCTTCACTGTGTACATGTGTTAATTTGTCAAGTTGTTCAGGTATAGGTACAGGTCCAGACCTCTATACTTAAACCTCTGTACCTGTACCTGATGTTTATGTACGCAGCCCTAATTTTAGCCAATGGTGTGTGTTTGTCCCGTAGGTTGATTTTGCCTTCGCCGTGTGGGAGAGTTTCCCAGACCGGGTGGTGGGGTACCCGGCGCGGAGCCACTACTGGGACGAGGCCAAGTCGCGCTGGGGGTACACGTCCAAATGGACCAACGACTACTCCATGGTGCTAACTGGGGCTGCCTTCTATCATAGGTATGTAGGGATGTACATGTAGTTTGACTACATCTGATCATGTAACTAGTAGCCCCTACGCAATTTTCCGTCTCGTAAATGGTCGATGCCATATGCTTCGAGCGTCCAAAAACAAATAAAAAGTAATATGTGCTATAAAAAGCAATATTCTAATAGCAAATATGAGGGAGGGTCATGTAGAATTTTAAATATAAGTGTAAATTAAGCACAAGCTCAGATTCGAGCCCGGGTCCAAAAGTGTAGCTCTAAAACCCTAACCTCTACGCCATGAAACATCATTTTAGACGGACCGTGCTAAGGCACTTAAACTAGTAAAAGTTAGCCATTTTGCAATATGGCATTGACCATTTACGAGATGGAAATTAGCAGCCTCTACATGTGTACTGGTCAGGCCCCCAGCCTAACTACATGTACTTCATGCTCCTACTCAGTTCTAGCATCTCTTCCACTGGTCAGGGCCTTAGAAGCTTGATGGCCAACACTAAGTCAGGAGAGTCGTGAACATCTTAATCCTGTGAAATAAGAGAGTGGCTAACCATTGTCATTACCTGGTAGTGAGTCTGTAATTCAGCACCTCCCTCTATCTGATGTAGCCAGTACTGCAGGAGCAGCATATGCATGCTGTTGTGACAATGTTGGTGCACCATAGGTGGTATTACTCAACTGGAACCTTTCCCATGTCTCTGAAGGAAGCTGAATCAGCTTTAACCAATTTGCAGCTACTTTTTTCCAGATGCAACCTGAATCTGCTCTAACCAATTTGCTGCTACTTTTTTCTCAGATACTACAACTTCCTGTACACCCATTGGTTGCCTGAGGAGGCGCGGCGGTTGGTGGACGAGGGCGACAACTGTGAGGACATCCTGATGAACTTCCTGGTCTCGCACGTCACCAAACTGCCGCCGATCAAGGTCACGCAGAAGAAGCAGTACAAAGAGACAATGCTGCAGGGGAATAGCAAGTCGTCGCGCTGGGCCGACCCCAACCATTTCTCCCAGCGGCAAACATGCATGAACGGCTTCGTGGATCTGTTCGGCTACATGCCGCTGAAACGCTCGCAAATGAGACTGGACCCCCTCCTGTTCAAAGACCCTGTGTCCAACCTGAGGAAAAGATACCGACAGCTGGAGCTGGTATAGCAGTAGCTGGGCCACCCCACCCCCTAGCATAGCCTCCTGAGGGTGTGAAGGGGGATACGGTTATTCCCCAATTTGATAATGTTTATAGAATTGTACAAATTTTGTTGTATAGACGTGTCTTGAATCCCGAATGAAGAAAATAGCTGTTTGTTGCAACTTTGAATCAGATAAAAAGACAAAAAAGTTCTATGCAAGTTTTATTTCTGGTCAGAGTAGTGTCGCCTGAAGTTCTTTTACCGGTAGATTCCTGAATAAAACATGAGTTATCACAAAAAAAATACAGATCTTTAAAACCCCTTTCACACCCTCACTTGTAAAACCCCATATGGCACCTTTGTTGTACAAATTTATTCGATAGCCATTGGTCGACGTGTACTTGACAATCAGGCCTTCCCTTCACTTTGCCAAGAGGAGTAAAGCACAAAGTTCCAAATTTTTCAACTCCAGAAGAATCTAAACCTACCAGTTATTTGGACTCGACTGTAGGCCCCAGAGATACAGGGGACGGTACAATGTACATTTTTCAGTCAGGAAACATCGGTTTGAAGAGCAAGTCAAATTTTGCACATGTGTGTCACAGATTTTCTTTCGAAATCCCTAAGAAAGAAAGTTCAACTGGCTGACAGATTTGCTAGCGTCCCCTCCAACTCTGAGGCCTACTCTGTGTCAAATTTCCTGCAATAGAAAAAAAGTATGACAGCAGCACCACATGTTTTTAACTGGTTGTTTTATTGAATATTGCGTGCTGCATTTTTTGAAAAGAAAGTTGTAGGATATGTGGGGGAAGGTTTGACGACAGACAGACTTGTATAGTTGTAGTTTTGAGGCGTTGTGCAAAACAGGGATGGCGGTGCTAGGGTCAGCCCCAGAGTCAAGGTCATACCGCTTGACCTTTGCCATGACATTTGTGTACCCAGACTGATGACATCACACCCACACGAGTAGTGCTGATGTCACCCCAGTGTTGTGTAGATGGGTTCTAACAGCTGCTAAGCAGTTGTGTGTATGTAGAGAAATTTTGACAAAGAACATGCTATTTTCTTAACTTTTCTAATTCAGTCTTTTCTAGATGGCTGTGTACTTAAAATGACAGATAGGTAAAGATAAGATGTTTATGATAAGGAAGCTGTTTAAATGTCTTGCCTTTGTCAATTGATAATGTTGAAAATAAGCTGTAAGATTGCAAGGCTTTCTGTAGCACTCATGACATACAAGAGGGTATTTTTTAGGTCGGGTTGAAACATTTTGTGATCATGCACAGTTTTCTGGAGATCTTGATTTAAAAATCATGAAAGAAACGAGGAATGAATTCTCTATGACTGTTATAAGATAGGGTTAGATAATTATGATTGATTGAACTTAGATTTTATTGATAGAATAAGAATCTAACGCCCCCCCCCCCCTTCTTGGTATCACCAGCTGTCACATCATATTTTCCCATGATTCCATTTGAATAAGCTGGTTCACAGGTTGAATTGGGCATGTGCAGTAGAATGCATTGTGGGTAATATGTCATGGTTAAAGACCCCTGGCAGTACAATAAAGAATGACCATGAACTTTCAACTTTGACATATTACCCATAATGCACCACACTGCACATGCGTGTTTCAAACTATATTTTTGGATTTTTTGCATCCATATTTACATTACTTATAATTCGCACAAAGCACATTAGAAGGTTAACCATCTCCCTGTTAATGTAGCCATTTGGCACAAACTACACATTACAGTTAGGCTGCAGGGATAAGGTTAAACTTGACTGTCAGCAGCTAGTTTACTACTGTCAAAATCCTAAATACTACTGGTGAACAAGCCCTTGCTAAGTTAGTATGGTTCTGGTTCAGTTAATTCTTGGCCAGACCAAAATCTTCAAAATATTGTTCACAGAAAGTATGTTGAGGTACAATTGGCCTCTTTTAATGCTCTTTTTTTCAGGGGGTATTTTTGTGGTATAGAAGAAATAAGAATAGAATTGTGCAGTTCCAGAAGTTGGTAAACTTTGGAGAAAATTTGGGTTTCCTATGCTATACTTTATACATGGGGAAGGGCGGAAACAATACTGTCAGTCTTATAGTAAGGTCTGTGTAGTGTTGCACGGCGGGTTTCTTGCGTGTTTCGGACATGTTGGTTTCTCCACTTCTTTACTTTGCTGTGTGTATTGTCTGGTTTAGTTTGTTGATGCTATTTTTGTGTAAAAGGCAGTGAAAAATATTGGTGGGGTAGTTCCTTCAGTTAGGGTTAATTCATGCTTTGACATCTGCAATACAACACAACATTAGGACTATGTCATGACATGACCTTTGGACTTTGATGTGACCTTTGACCTGACCTTTGGCATTGACATGACCTTTGGTCTTTGACAATAGATTTTTTTTTAACTGTAAACCTCGAAAGCAACTTAACATACATTGGCAATGGTGACAAAATTTCTTAAATCAAACTACGTTTTCTCAAAGCATTTTCTACATTTGCAAAGCCTGCTCTGCTTTTTTTCCGTGTTTTTAAGTTCATTGTTGTGAAATCAGTTTACATACATGATAGTTGTGTTTAGTATATTGAGAAAAGGTATTGGTGGTATTATTATTTTTTTTCAAATAGTCCAATATGGCTGCAGCAAATGAATGTCCAGGTAGAATTCTACATTTTACCTGTTTAGGCTTTAACTTCTTTTATTTTTTTTCCTGGATTGTGCAAAATGTAATGGTTGTCAATATTATGTACAAATCTTATGTATATTTATTTGCCGCAAAATCTGTATAGTGTACAAATGTGTAAACCATGGCTAAGCGAGAATTGTAAGGTTTTTTTTTTGTCATTTCTTTTTTTTCTTGGCATTTGGCTGCTGTTGAAAGAACTTGTGTGGCAAGTGTAGAGGGACTGTGGCTACATCTGTAGATCAGAAGTTTTTAGGTATCGGCTTGTAACGCTAACAAAAAATAAACCTGACATCAGAGTGTTAATATAAGACTCCCCCTGTTACGGAATGGAATGACCGTACCAAAGCATATACATGTATTACTAATCTTTGGGATAGGCCATTCCATTTTACAAAAGGAGGTGCTGCCTGCATAAACCAAAATATACGATTCACCGAATGTTAAGATTAGGTGGATAAGATTTGGAAAATTTCAATTTCTTCCATTTTTGGCAATGCCTCAGTGGCGGAGCCTTTTCGTTTTAAGATTGAAATGTGCCAATTTCATACCTTTGGGGCCATACATGTGTAACATGAGCTGTCCAATAGAATTCAATGTCTTCCTGTTCCTAAAGTATAAGAATGTTTTTAAACCCTGAATATGCCCAAATTGTCAGACTTGGTTGACTTTCTATAATGTTTTGAGACGACGTCATATTGAACCTCTGACATATTACACTTTGTCCATCTTTCAGGTTGCATATTGTTTTTATGCCTTGGCTCAATTGTTTGTTAACATAGATGTAAACAGGTGATTCTTGTACTTTGAAATGAGTATATGTGCAAATGTCGCATCCCTTTTGTAATCTAAACAATGATAATTATAATAACCTTGCCGAAATATACCGTGGAGCTTGTTTTTATTGTGTCTTAGTCTTCACGTCCCCTACTCATCTACTATATCACACACACAGCTTCTCAAGTTATTTTGTACACAAAGACACATACATACACAAACACAGAGAGTCTGTTACAGTATCATTGGGAAATGCTAGGTGAACCATTTTGAACTTCACCTTTGTTTCCACAAGTTCTACTCACCTACCAATTATCATTAAGATCCATCCACAACTTCTCGTGTTAAGTACATACATTCAAAGTCTGCTGCAGTACCATAGAAAAGTGATAGGAGAATCATTTTCAAACTTAACCTTCATTTTCACAACCACTACCCACCTACCAAATCTCTTACACAACTTCTCGAGTTATGCTGTTGATATACAGACCCATGCTACATCATGGCTAAACCGAAAAGTTTTTCTGACCCAACCATTGCAGGTTTATTTGTCGACAATGACTTGTTCTACCTCCCACTGCAGCTATGTGGCGCTGATTTAGTGTGAAGATGCTGTCCGAAACTTAATGGTTTGCAATGTAGCAGCGACACCTAGCGAAGTAGATTCGCACTGAAATTGTTCTCTCAGATATTAGTATGCCATGGGATAGACTGGATTCAACTCACAACATTAAAAGAATCATCAGCAGAAAATTGTCTTTGAAAATCCAGTTTTGCCTCCTTGAAATTGCTTTTGTAGCTCTAGAAGGTAGTGCTACATTGATGTATGGGGCATCAAAATGATATTTTTATTTATATTCGTGGGTTCATTTGCAACTAATCATAACCAAAGCTGCCGACATATTGCTAGTAGAGGCTACAAAACGTGTTTCAAAAGCGTATGAAATCCGTCAAGCGTTTGTAATGATATACGCTGGCCGCTCAGTAAAGAATCGCCCACCTCTTTTTACCTGATGTACGGAATTTTTGGTGCGTTTGCTTGTTTTTTCGTACCTATCTATTTGTATAGTCCACATGACTCGACACGTCAGATGAAACTGACGGGAAGTTAGGTCCATGGTCCCAGAAAAGGTCATCTCATTTCCTGTCTTTAGCGTCCTGTCATATGCATGTCTGTTGCCTCATGAGAGACAGCAGGAACTTGGATGTAAACAAACATGGCTGACAGCTGTGCTTTAAACACACATATAATGGCCTGTGGTCTCATTTGGGAGATCACGAATATGCAAATTAGTACATGCAGAAAAGACCGTGTTATGTCATGTTTTGCACTACACGAACGGTACATTTTTGCAGATTGGCAATGCAATGGAGTAGGGTTCACTCAACTTACTTTCCTTTTTGTATCGTCCTAAATGTTACAATATTACATATCTTCTCTGGATTCAACTAGTTCCTATATGACAACTCACTACACCCTAACCCCTATAACCTCCTTGCTGATGTCAAAGATGTCGCTTTTCAAAAATAACAATACATAGACAAAGGACCAATACAGAGGAAAATAGGTATACGGCCTATAGAGGTTCATGTTATTCATGTGCAATAACAGTATCCGGCATTAATGAGTCATTAATTATAAAGTCAGGACGGAAATAGTGAGAGTTCCGGTGTGGGCCGTCTGAGTATTGAAATATCCGGACACCTGTCTGATTCTGTCTCAAGCTAACGGATATTGTCACAAATAGTGGGCTCGACTTAGCCTCTACCAGGCACCGTGGATCGCTGGGAAAATAGTAGAAATTGGCCGATATAAAGAGATAGTATACCAGAGGTAGCCGGCCAGAGAACCACGGGTCGCGAATTGGATCTTCTCTGGCCGGCTACCTCCCCTGGTATATTACTAGTATTCCTTTATTTCGGCCAATTTCTACTATTTTTCCAGCGATCCGCGGTGCCTGGTAGAGGCTAAGCTCGACTACCCTAAGGCTAGTAGCTAGCTAGTGTATCGTTGATTTGCAATTCGTGATCTCCATTGAAGCAGATCTTTTGGTGCTTGCAAGACAGTTTCATATTGGCCAGGCAGTATATCAATTTACCAACCCAAGCAGTTACCATTTGCCACCTGTTGGCTCGAAAAAAAAGATACCAGTACAAAAACAAATTGCTCCATGAGGGTCAATATACATTGGGATACTGTGGTTTCAACTCAGTATGTAGATAAGTGACTAGAATATTGACTTTGAAAAATTGGGTTTCCAAGCCCTAAAAACTGCATTGGATGCCCTACGACCACAAAACAGCTCTGGGAGTCTTCAATTATGTAACCATTTTGAGCTAGTCTGACAGAATGAGGTTAGTTTCCGGCGATGGCCCTCAGAGAGTCGCGCCCACTCTCATTAAAACCGCGTTGTTACACACAGACTACCATTCACCACACACGTGTGTGTGCACGTTTGTACCGTAATGACGCAGTTAATAAGGTCTGGGCGAGTCTAGCCTACTGTGCGGAGCTTCTAAGGCCGTGTCTATACGGAATCACCCAAACCGCGATTCGGGTAACTCACATCATGGCCTCACATCTGGTCCACGTGCCACACACACCTGTGAAACCGTGTCCGAACATAATGCGCTTGAGCTACATTTATTGCTGTTTGATGATAACACGCAAGGCGGCGTGTTATTAATGTCAGAGGTCAACGACCTGCTTGCTGATGCCCCCCTCCCAGCGTATCTCGGCCGAATGCCGACGTGGTCCCGCCAGAGGCGGTGAAGCTCGCCCTAGAACGGACACATTATTTGACCATTACTGCTCTTTAAGTTGCTGCCACGTAAAAGTTGGTATTGCATATAAAACAAGTGCTTCTGCAAAAGCTGACCATTTTCGCCGCTTACAGGCTTACAGTTTTTACGAACATTTTCCCCATCCTAGCATTTCAATTTACCTAAGTTATATAAATGGTTCTAGTTCTCATCAACATTGTATATAATGAGAGAACATGCACTTCTATATTTCAACTCTTTAAGTTTAAAACATTACAAAAATCAAGTATATAACAGTTTATAACCTGTTTTCTCTCTTTTAAGAGTCTTTTTAACAGAATAAAAAAATGAGACACAAAAGTACATTTTAACTTAAATTATAAGTAACGTTAATATATATATATATAATTTTATTCAAAATCTCTTCTATGGCTTTGTCCCCAACATCTAAGTTTACAAACCTCGTGACATTCAACCAGGGTTTTAGCCAGCGCCCGTTTTACCGTCAATTGACGGTATTTTTTCCCGTCGGACGGTAAAAATTTAAGTCCTTACCGTCAACATTGACGGTCAAAAATCGTGGGTGAAGACATTAAACTTAGCAAAAAATGTAGCGAATTTGAATGAGCCACGGCGCGGGGTCTTTCCAAAGCGCGTCGCGTCTTTTCAAAACGCCGCGGGCCCACACATTTCTTATTTAAATACGGCGGGAAACCTGACTTCAAGGAACGTGCCGATGTCTGTTAACTCGGTTCTTTTCTTCAATGTTGCTGTCTGTTTAAACAACATGTGCTAACGGCCACATAAGAACAATGGCTCGACTCAGACTCACGCTGGTAACTGTACATGACAATAAGATAAATAAACAACATGTGGCAACGAACAAAGAAATATCAAACGTTTTGAAAATATACTGTACTTGAATTTTCATACCATCGCAAGAAAACGGAGATCGATCTACGCAAAGTGGCTTTATTATTTATATAAACTTCGTTAAACCACCTTCGAAGACTTGAGCGGCAGCATAAAGATAAATTTTCTGGAGCCGATCGCTGAAGCAAGTTTTTGCCGGCGTACGTAACTCCCTCCGCGGCAAAATCCCATATGCCGTAGCGAAATCGCGTCTCAGCACTTCCCCAAATCAACTCCATGGCCGCTAAAGTCTGCAAATGAGGTTAAACTTCCTCATTTCGGTTGAGAAGCGAAGCTACTAGTATAAAATCATGTGCATGGCGGCCATTTTGTTTGCTACCCGAAGTCTTCCGAATGATCTAAATAAGGAAATCGTCGGAAATCTGAGCCACATCCCTCGCTGTCGGCATGCGCTCGGGGCTGGCTCGGTGGAAATCGGAGGCTGTGGCGTCAGGACTAGGTTTATTTGCATGGCTCGGGAAGCCGCCGCGGCTTGAATCGCAGCGGGATTTGGGCGCCGGGCGGGTCAAACAAAGGGAATATGAAGTTGTGAGGACCATTAGTTTTTTTTTTCATTCTTCAAATTGCAGATTGTGTAATTTTTATCCTGAAATCTTGAAAATCTATCTGCAAATTGCAGACTGAAGACGGGTATTTAGAACACTGAATACATGAAGTGTGCGGGGGGGCATGATGTCGATCACCGGATCATGATTTTTTTTCGCGTTGACCCTGATTCAACCCTAAAATAATACTCGAAGAGAACTTCAAAAGTCATCTTTTACTAATCATATATAATTGTTTACATTATATCATCTGATCAACCTGATCCATTAAAAATTGTCAATGGAAAATACCTTGCCAAACAATGCAATACCTATTTAAGTTAATTAAACACTCACTCATTAATTAATTAATTTCCTAAAATACAAAAGACATGTTGGTGAAAGTTAGGCACCCAGGTAATATCAATAGTTCCACGGACAGCTATGTAGGCCGGAGCTTCTATTGCGTGCGATCTACGTTTGGTCAAAAAATACCCCCCCCCCCCAACCACACACACACACAAAAACACCGATCCGGGAACGCCTGAAAAGGAGGCTTTTAATAAGCTTTGCCTGCAGCGCCTTGATTGGTCGGACGTGTGACCCTCTGGACTGCCGGCTAATGGAAATCTGAACATCTAGACTAATCCACACTGCTAATGCTCATTGACATAATTTATGCAGTTTATTAAAATCCTTGATTACTGTGATTATAGACATGTCTTTATCAACATTTTTGGAAAATAATAAAATCAAGTTATTGTTCAAGACAAATTAAGTTTGTTTTGTCAGCAGCTTTGTTATGCAACATTAATAGAACTATGATTTTGAAATTAGCAACCATAATGGAAAGTATACAAACGTCCAAGGCATAAATGGTAAAAAGT